ATTATATCCAACATGGTTGAAACTGCAGTTGGACGTAGAGCGACTCTTGGCTCCGAACGGGCATAAGGATACGTTTTCAATGTATAATTGAAAGATCAAAAGTGCGAGAGTGCCGAGCGCGATAAAAGCAGACTTTGCAGTTGGGTTAAGAACTAAAGACTCGTCGTAGGTCGATGTGGCCAAAAGGCTGGGCGAACCGAGTCGCGATGAAAATGTGCCGCGAGTCGAGGACTGTAGGCAGCGGCGTGGCTGTTGTATTAAAGAAGAAAATGAGCCAAGCTGCAGCAGGACTCGATGAAGAAGCGTAGGGCGCGTCAAGGTGTGCAATGGTAAAGCTGCTTTCTCTCGATAATTAGCGGAGATTTCTGCGATGGCGTCGCTCCGCGCTCGGCTCGCATCGTGCCCTATGCACTGCGCACCCACGGCCACGGTTCAGCTCGAGTCATGGCTCCGGCAGACTTGGCTCGGGCTCGGGCAATGCTGCGAAGCTAATGCGTCGACACGATCAATATCGGTTTTTCTCGCTCCCTCCTCGTTTCCCTCCCTCGCTGCCTCTCCCTCCCTCTCTCTTTCTCTCTCTCTCTCTCTCGTTCTATCTCGCGCAAGTTTAACTTCTCTCGAGCCTACAGCAGCGTCGCGAGTAGCCAGCGTATAGTCGACATTTTCCTCCTTTTTCACTGCATAATTGCTTAATTACACGTCTATATATCATTGGTGTCGAGTAGGTGCTCGCTCGGCTACTCGGCCGCTGTAGAAATAAGCAGAGAGAGAGCTGACTTTTATCGTAAAGCAGGGATCGGCAGGAATTTTCATCCCGCGCTTGGCAGCTCTCGCACCCCGCGTATATAGCTTCGTTGAACGTATAGTCGAGGCTTTCTTTGAAAAAGTGTAGGCGTGCACGAGCAGTGTTTGTGGCCAGCGGCCCAAGTACGCGTACAAGCCAGTGCGAGCTCACGCGATCCTATCGGCCCAACAGCTATACGAGCTTATATACAAGCACATATAAGCAGCGCCAAGCGTGCCTCGTGCCTACTCGCCGCATCCGATAAAGCACTCGACTCGAGAAAATAACGCTACGCACTTACCAGTACTTATACCAACGATCCTCCTAATACATCCCGTATCATCTCTGCGCGGTTTTATGCGCTTTCGAGCTTTGCTCCTGCCACTTAAGTACTTGTGTATTTTCTCCACTGCAATTTTCATCTTTTCTCTCTCTCTCTTTCTTACCCTTTTTCCCCGGCTCGTACGTGCAATTTCCTTAAACGCATCGCTCAATGATAATGCATACTTATTCTCGCTCTCTTCGGCTGATTCTCTCGATGCAACCTCTTTGTGCCGATCGCCGAGAACACGCGCTCGTGTGCACACTTATAGCATAGCCAACGATCTATGCACAAGACTACTCACTCAATGAAGAAGCCATCGCACGCCACCAACTTTATCAAAAAGCCATTTCGAATCAACGCTGCAGCTCGTACAAAAATACTTTTCGCTTCTTATTCTTAACTTTCTTTTCGCCTCTCTTTCTCCTATTATTCATTGCGTATTGCATCGACTCAAGAGTTTTCTTCGCTTTTTTATTCTCGAGCTAAACTTTGTGGCCAAGACAACACATTTTTCTCTTTATCTTAACAATGACAATAAAATGCCTTGTGCAACTATTATCGAGTACACGAAAATGTAAATGTTTTCTTTTGACACTTGTTTTCTTCAATTCATTAGATGGAGAAATTCAGTCAACAAACATCCTTACGATTTACACCAAGGGAACGAATTCAACTAGGGTAAATCACCCTCCAGTGTATCACCTTTCGACCGGCAAGACTGCTAATCCATTATTTCTAAGCCAATCCAGATTTGTTTCCAAATCAACTCTTGCAGGATCATGATACACTTCATAAAGATTAAAGTTATAAAGAAATTACACGCATTCACAAAGTTTTGTCGCTAGCATTGATAGGAAATAATAATAATTTTTACAATACCTCATTTATTACCAGAGTGGCTATAAAATAAAAAGTTTAATATACTATTAAAATTTATTAATCCGAATTTTCCTTTTTGTGAACTGTAGAGAGAAAAAAGTCACAAAAGAGAATGTGAATGGATTGAAAACATTTTTAGGCGGTGCACGGATCTCGGTATAACATAAAGAGCAGTGAGAAGCTTGCTGCTTTAAATAGTCGAAATCCAAAAAAGAATGTTCTTCAAATTACACGGAATTATGTAACTAATTTGCTACGCATACATTTTTCGTGCCTCTTCTTTTTCTTAAGATCGAAACAACATGATTTCTCATTATAATCGTTGAACATTTTTAAATGTATGCATTATATTCGCAATGTTTACGATAAGAGAAAATGAAAAAGAATAAGAAACGTTGCTTGGAAAGTAAAATAAACAGGTATATTATCATTAAACTTACATTGTTGCTGATTACAAAGGTGCATTGATAAAGGCACGGAGTCAGAGAGACGAGCCGAGGTCCGCACTAGTCAGAGTCGGAAAGATTAATTAAAAAATTGAGTTACAATTTGATTCTCGAGCTCAAATTTAGTATGGAGGGGAATCGGCGTCAAAAAAATACTATGTGAACTTTGTCTCGGTAATTGGTCTAACAACACGCATGATGCTATGTAAATGATTGATTTTTACTATTAATAATAAAAGGGAAATTAAAAATTGTCATTTGTAATATCTAAGAGATAAAATATTCAATCACCAGTAAACTATCTTCTCTTTCTTGCGCCTTTCAAGGTCGATAGTGAGAAAAAGCTTTTTCATACCAGCGGCCCGAAAGTGACTACTTCTCTGTCGCTGCGCAAAGCAGGAAGAGCGATTTTCGGGCCACTGTGTATAAAAAATAGTATACAGGCCTATGCCGCGAAAAAAGAAAGCCCCAGAGCACGTGTTTATCGGCCTCGGCTTCGCCTCGGCCACTAATCACACGAGCTCTGGGACTTTTCTGCTTTTCGTGGCCTAGGGCACTAATATACTATTTAAGTTTGTTTATAAAATAATGGTGGTTAAAAATGTGTGTAGTTATTTGAAATTATTCATATACTTTTTTTCATTATTGTAGATATTTTATTAAAAGTAACATCACGGTCAATGCAAGTGAGAATATTGAAATTTCGACTAAAAAGAAATGAGTGTTTCGTCTTTTTGACATTCAGAATCCTAAACATTTTTTACCCCATTTTACACAAATAAAAAAGGGTTGCCTATTATTACAACTACAAAAACGAATCCCACAAAAACAGTTATACCTTTGCGAAATTAAATAATTTTTTAAATCTGAAAAATGCATTTTGTAAAGGTAAGCCAAAGACCTATCCAAAGCTGTATTGAAAATTTTTCCATAGTTGTGCTACAGAAGATAATGGAAAAAAACTAAACTTTGAATGTTTTTTAATTGTTTTTCAAGTTCGGCTCTAGGCGTCACTCTTTCAAGTGGGATAGCAGAGATGCCCACATACTAGGCACTGTGTAGACCTCCTATTGCCTGCGTTTTGGTCCAAATTGAAGTATACCGAAGCAGGTTCACACGCTGCAGTGGTACGTCGAACCCAGTGTGGGGCGCATTATAATTATTCACTTCCAAAGCAAAATATGCTGAATTATTGAGTATGGGGTTGGGGGGGATTAATATTTATTTTTAAGGCTTTGATAAATCTAATAAGCCCTACATTTGTATCCACATAATTTGATCTTTCGTAATATTACACAGTGACTGGATTTAAATTAAAAAATGCGAAGAAAAAAATTGTTAGTAAGTTTATTCTTCAAGCTCACTTTGTAGCAGTACTCGATATCTCTGTTGACATGGAAGTAGCACACGATGGAATCAAATATTATGAGAATTTTTCGAGATTTTTAATACAAACTTTTTGCTTTTCAGATGAAGTTATCTCGGGAATGCAGCGGTATAATAGAAACAATTGAAAATTGTTATAATACTATTTATAATATTGCTTTTCACCATAAAAAGTGTTAATTAAAATATTAAAATATACTACTTAACCATTTTTTACCAATTTTTATCCTGAAAATCGTCGAGGAAAAATAAAGTTAATCGGATCTAATTTAATTTAATTTAATTTCATATAATTTGATTAGCCGACTAATAAAATTAAAAAAAATCTATTCCGCTCAAAAAGAAATAGGTACTTTTCCAAACATCATAAATATTTCTTTATCTTACTTGATTTACTAAAAATGTTTTATAATTAAAATAAATTCGATAAAAATGATCATTATAATGACATCTTCAATGATAAAATTTGTTTTATAATGTTGCTCAAGGCATTTTTAATTATTGATTGCATGAACACGGATCTTCAAAGTTAAATTTTCAGTTAATATATCAGTAAAGATGTTTAAATTTTTTTGGCATTTTTTAATAGTCAAATTTATACAGCTTGAATAAATTTGAAAATAGTAAATAGTTTTTTTCAATTAAAATTTTTAGTTCAAGCTCGTACTCTGAATGATGTACAGGGACTATTTTTTGATTCGACAAATATTGCCATTTATGTCTGTATTGTACTCCACGATGATAACTATCGTGATTGAAAAAAATTATATAAGTTACATATTATTACTTTCTTATAAATAGATTTGTATAATACTGGCAACACAAAGAATTTTTAGTGTTATTTTGAAGAGAATTTTGAATAGTGTAATTTCACTTACACCGCAAAGTTTTATAATTTTTGACAATTTTTGATAACATAATAATTGTAAAAAATGAATTTACGTTTTCCGAATAACTATCTTTACGCAGGTTTAAAAATATACATTTTTATTTAATTGTGAAAATGTGTTTTTTGAAAAATTCTAGATCAAGGGCATGACTCAAAGTATGAAAATTACGCATTACGTAACTTTGAGGGAATTCAATGATGAATGAAAGCTTAAGTATTTTCTAAACAATTGATAAGGTTTTGTTTTGTACTCGGCTAGAACAATCAATAACTAGTAATCGTTCTTGGACATTGTGAGTAACAAGAGTTACAATTATTTCTGTTGCAATAGAAATAAGTAGCTGAAAGTTCCGATTGCAGTAAATTGTTTTTTTTCATACTTGCCCTTTCAAGTTGTTCATCAAAATGTCGACAAAGTTGTTCATCTTTTATTTTTACTTTTGCATACTCACACATGCTATAGGTAGTTATAACATAATGTAAAAAATATAATTTATTCAGATTTGCGTTTTTGATTCTTCAAGTGTTAAAAAACTAATATCTTATTGATTTAACAATGATCAATACTTGCTGTTGATGATATAAGACGAATAATATGTATTAAATCAAAAAATTCGTAATGCTGGTTATTTTTTTTCAGTTCATACATCTGCAGCTTTATCGAATAGTAAAAGTCAACAGACAGTCGAGTATTTTGAATTGAACTCGGTTAAATACTTATTATTTTCTCAACATGTTACGTGGCCTGAAGCTGATATGCTTTGTCAAAATAATGACGCGAAACTGGCAATTTTAGATACTAAAGAAAAAGCAGAGGCTGTTATGGAAGCAATTTCTGAATCTAACTCAGGTATTTATTTTTATAGCTTAGTCTATAAGATGAGATTTTCAAAACCTAATCGTGAAAAATTTTTATTTGGACCATTGGAAATTGAAGATATCGATGATGCTTGGATAGGTGGTCGACGAATTCAATCTAATTGGATTTGGTTTAAAATGGACGATAATTCTACAGAAATCAGCAACCGAATATCAATGAGACCTGACAAAAATAATTTTCCACCATGGATTCGAGAACCCACGAACGCAAACAAGGCTTGTCTAGCTATTAACAGAATATTGCACGCCATTCCTGTTTTTGTTGATTTAGAATGTCGACTATTAAGACCATTTATTTGTGAAAAAAGTACGTGAAACTTTTTTATTATTTCCTAACTGAGAAAATATGGTTTTTATACTAATATTATCAGCATTAAGTTCTTCAATTTTTTGATAAACTTAAAATTATTTGTAAAATTGTGATCAAAGTGTTGGGCATCTAAACATTGATTAACTACGTTGCAAAACTCGCCATTGTACAGAGCTCTCGGATGTTTCGTAAAATATCCCCCCGAGCTATCTGTGGTAACAAAATCTCAAAGTCTCATGTCTTCATACAGGAGGCGGATATGAAACAAAAAGGAGAAAATAAATTTCTCCGCGTCTTACAGAACCAGTTTTCGAGCAGCTGCTTAGGGCGTTATTTCGCGTTTTAAAGTTCGAAGCATGGCCGAACATTATATTGAGATTTTCGATGGCGTGTTTTAATTTTAGGGAGGCTCTCGGACATTGCAATACCTTTGCAAACCTCTTTGTTATTTCTGAAAGGGTCTGACTATTCAGGCGAAATTCGTGCACGAAATTTTTGATTTTCGTGTACAAAATTCTAAAATTGGTAATGAAAACTCCAAATAACCCTAGATAAGCCTTGTTTTCTTAGAAAAATTGTAATTTTCGTTTACGAAAATCCAAAATTTCGTACACGAATTTCCCCGATAATTTTCAATTAGCTGGCAATGAAATAAGTTTAAAAAATGTACAGTTTTTTGTGTCTAGATATTCTAAAAGCGTATACAGGTATTCATCTACTAAACTGAAAAAACTAAAAAAATATACTCGCTTTAATTTGATTTATCAACCAATATGTCGTAATCATACAATTATTCTCGAGTAAATTAGATTAATTTGAGGTAATTATTACAGATGCAATCGGTGATAGCAATCAAAATGGAATACCAAGCAAGTACGTGGTTATTGGTAAAAGTACTTTTTCACTTTATCACAGAAAATCGACTTGGTTGGAGGCTGCTACATTTTGTCGCGATCAGGGAGCTCGCTTGGCTATTATCAAAAATAAATTCGTAGCCAGAGTGATAGCTAATAGCATGACAACCACTAGACCAGGTAAAACACCGAGTTGCAAAGATGACGACTGGGAATGAATGTATGTTTTAACAATAGCTACCTGTACACTCGTTATTGTTGAATATAGATTTTGAGCAAGTTTGGATTGGAGCTCGATTTTACGAAGGACACTGGACTTGGCTAGCTACCGGAACAATTTTGAGCTCGTTGACCGACGAAACTGGCTACCCCCCATGGCGATTTGGGAAGGCTGAAAAAAATAGTGGCTGCCTCTTACTTGATAGGCATCTTGAAAAAAGGCCAAATTTTATTGGATCAATATGCAAACGAAAGAGAGATTTCATTTGCGAGGAATGTGCGTTTAATATATATTTCATGACCCTTTGAGTAGCTTTCAAATACCGCACGAAATGCTTGTTTCGCACATTTTCCTCTTCTTAATGATTTTAGATCCAGAAGATGAGAGTGAAGATTGGATGAATGAACCTATTAAACATTCCGATGGGAATTATACGTTTGTGATTTATCCAATCGATAAAACCTGGAACGATAGCCGCGTCTATTGTCAAAAGCGGGCAAGTTCTTTGGCTACGGTTAAAACTTTATCGATCGCTAATACGATCATTGCAGCAATGGGCGATCATCCACAAGGTTAGTACACGCCCTTGGTATCGGATTCATTCACGGCTAGTACCAAATAATACCCACTTAAATCCAGACCATTTTCGATGCATTAATGAAAAAGAGTTTTATACAATCAGGACTTCAACACGTTTGGCTGGGCGGGCTTCGCCAAAATAATCTTTGGCGTTGGATCGAAAATGATGAAATTATCACTATTAACAATAGTTTATCACATATTCCTCCTTGGGCGAGTATTGTTGAAGAAAACAACGTTCGAACCGACGGGTCTTCGTGCTTAAATCTAGACAGAAATGACCACGTTGAGCCTTACCTTTACGGGTTGAATTGCAATAGTAAACAGCCATTCGTATGCGACATTGGTGAGATTTAAAATTTTAACTCTAAATAATACCTTTACAAAATTGAAATCAAGGCTCGCACTTGATTGGAACCTTTAATTCAATAAAAATTATAGGATGCGATAAACTTCCGCCAATTGATCAAGGCAATTGGGAATGTAATAATGAATCTAATGAAAAACATTGCTCGATAAAATGTAACGAAAGCTATGTATCCATGGGTCTGGAAAAAATATACTGTACACCTGAAAAAGGCTGGAACAGTTACAAGGATTGGCTGGAACTCCCCATTTGTCTAGGTATAAATACGATTATCGATTTATTATTAGCTACTAATAATGCACTACTTAAATTTTTAAAAAGAGAAAATTATTCTACAATTCAACAGATGCTAAAGCTTACGTTGATCGGATGATAAAAGCCATTTATAAAGATTTGCAAAAAAGCGATGGTTATTACATTATATTGGGACATTTCAATAAAAAAATACAAAAACTCTCGTTTGATTTTGCCGAACAATTTGTCAAGATTTTTCCGTAAGTTTTCAATATGAAATTATACATGTAATTTCATAACTGTGATATCAACTGATTGTTGCCTTTTTGCAGTCTTAGTAATCAAACAAAAATGGGAATGACCAGTTATATCACGCTTCCTGCAAGCAACATTATTTATGAAGAAATCGATTCATGTGAAGTTTTGGATATTATACCCAAGATGAAAAGTATTCAGCCACTTGAAGATGTTCCAAATGATAAAATAATACATTTTACTGACTTGGAGAAGTATGTGTTGAACAATTTTGATCGGAGAACCCTTATAAGTATATTTTATCTTTAAATTAACGCAGAGTGTTATAGTTATGATGAAATAGTTTTTTTAACAAAAACCATTTATTGCTATGCAGTTGCTTTCGTCGATCCAGTAAGGGTGCATCAAAACAAGGAAATATTTGAAGAATTGAGAGATGCTGGGCATTACGTAATCGGTATTGGTTTAAAAGAGGATTGGGAAGCTCTATTGCCAATCACCACTATTGGGTTTGATCAACATCTTAATCTTTACCTTTTTAGTGAGGAACAATTTGAAGTTATTTATAATATCTTTAGAGGTAAATCAGTTCACAATGCTAATACAATTCAGCAATTTCTTTTTCAATTTTATAAAAATTATACATGATTTATATTAATTACTATCACCATGGATCATTGAACCATTTATGATTATTTTTTTCTTTTCTTAATAGATGAAGCAAATGTAAATTTAAATTGTGAGTTTTTTCAAATCCATAATTTACACTTTTGTAGTAAAATATAAAACAAGTCTGACTTTTATTAAAAAATTAACAGGTTCAGCGAAGTCAAAATCCACGTTTCATGGAAAGACCAGCAGCCAAGTTAACAACGCTGAGTTAGGTAAAAAAATTTTAAAATGTTGAAGATTTTTTTTAAACTTACATGATTTGATAAATAATTTTGAGGCATTTCTGCGACAAAGGCACAGAAACTAGAATTTTAATAATTTTTTTTTTGAAACATCACCGACCCAACAATTTTTAATCATATTTTTACGATTTAAAGATAAAACAAATTTCAACACTGAAGAAGATAAAAAATTGAAACAAACTGATGAAGTATTAAAATCGGATGAACAATCACAAGAAGGTAATGCAGACTTTTTTATATACATATAAATTTTTATAGATTTTTACCTGTCAATCAAATAAAACGCATTCAAATAGTAGGAAACTGAATTTCAAGGAAACAATTGATTCATATTCGAATTTTATAATTTTTTTTTACTTTGTATACATTTTCAGGACCTCCTGATAACTTGAATGAAAAAACAGCTACTGATAAAATCGACGAGTCAACAACTGCTAAAAGTGACCAAGTTTTGAGATAAAATTGTTAAGCATACAGCAAGCATATAATTTATATAAAAAATTCATGAATAATTTACTTGAATTTTTTGTTTGTTTTTTTCTGTTTTTTATTCAAATTAAAAATAATTAGACCTAGTATTAATAAAAATAAAAATGTTAATATATTTTTCATCATGTTATTATAATTGAATAAAGATGTTATAAGTTTTGATTTTAATATAATTGGGCACATTTTATTTACTCCGCTTGGGATAAAATTTAAGATCTATAATCTTCATGACAGATCAAAAAAATATTTTAAAGAGCAAAGCATTCTAAATTTTCTGATCATTAAGTAACAAAAATTCGTTTTTGTAAAACAGAAATTTTTCACAAATAGCTAAAAATGTTTATTTTGTTTAGCTTCGATTGGCTCTATTGCCCCAACCTCGTTTATGAGTATCTTTGTATTCATCCATGGCTCTAGCTCTAGCAAGAGCTACAGGATCATCTTGCTCAATTTCTCTTTCTTTTTCCTCATCTTCTTTATCTTGCTCTAATTGTTCATCAACTTTACCACTTGCAACATCTTGTAAACTCTTTGATCCAATTTTATTTCTTTGTTCAGTCCACCTATAAGATATGATTCATTTAAAAAATTCAACATTTTTTATTGAAGTTTTTCTGTATTTTACAAATTTTATATTGATACTTACTCTCCGTCTCTAATTTTTTGGTCATAAAATTCATCAACAGTTAATACTGGAAGACTAGGATAGCCAGCTCCATAAACTTGTTTCTGTATTAAATCTCTAGTTATAATCATAGGTTTTAACTTTGACGTTGTATAGTTTTTCTTTTCAGCTTGTTTCGATGGGTCATGATTAATATTTTTCATATGTTCTAAAATTGGAATTTCAGCTGCTAATGAATTTATTTCATCTAAAGCTTGATTAGCAAATATTTTTATAAGTGTGACAAAATATTCTCTTTTACTTTCATCATCAATATTTGGATTGTTTAGATTTTTTTCTAACATTTCTAATTTTTTTTCTAATTCTTTCTGCATCTGATATCTTTGAATTTTAGCATTTCTTGAGTTGACCTGTAATACAAAAAAGATCATTTGCTAATGGCATCGGTCAAGATGACTTTTAAATTAAAATTATGATTCGGTTACCATTTGGGCAATGGCTTCTGCATTTGATTTTTTAAGAGCGACAGCTGTTTCTTCAGTTTTCTCATTATCTTTAATGTCAGGAATATCAATATCGATGAGTCCATATGATTTTAGTCTTTTAAGAAAATCAATGAAATAAATTTCTGCAACTTTTACAATATGCATTCTATCTTCTGTACCACATACTTTAGTGGTTAACGTACCAAGTAATGCTGGTAACAATAAATATTTTATATTTTCTGTAGCTATTTCTTCAAAACTTTCATTACCGCTATACATATCTGCCAATGATACTAACTTTGTAACATCTTCAAAATTTTTCATCAATGTTTTGATATTATACTGCAATCACATGTAATTGTTATCAGAATATCTTTTCATCCGGATTAATAATAGTTGTTTACAAAAAATATTACAAACCTGCACTTCCTGACTATTTGTCGGTTCATTACTTTTGTTAAGCTCATTGTATAATTTGAAAGATTTATCAAACATATCAGATAGTTTAGTATCATCTGCTCCTTCTATGGAAACTTCACCCCCACTATGATTTCCACGATCGATTCCTTTTTTTGGCTCCATAACTTGTATATTTTTTCAAATAAAAATGAAATGAAATAATTTTTTATTGAAAAAGTTTATTTATAACCTTTTTTAGTAATAAATGTTGAATACCGTGATTCACAGGTATGCACTACTGAATGGACTAAACCGTAAGTGTATAAAATGGTCAAAAATTTCGTATACTAGCAATGAATCTTGCATATCGAATCGTTTAACAATGATACAATAAGTATGGTAAACATAATACGCACTACGTTCATGCACGGCTAGTATCAAAACATTAGGCTCGAATTGTATTGCTTCATGCTTGTAACTTGTAAGAAGGCAGCGATCAATTTTTTTACAAGTCCGATGGTGAGCGCTGCAAACAATCGTGGTAAGATAGTAAACTATTAAAATATAATCCTAATGTTTTCAAATTATTACTTTCCACTTAATAACTTGGAAATTGATTAAGTGGATTCGCAAAATCAAATGAATATTTAATATGTTGCATTAAATTTTGAAATTTTGTTAGCTTTGATGTTTAATATATTAAATTATATAATAATACAAGTGGCAATAAAGTCATAGAGAAGTGAGATTACCGATTTTAATACGGAGAACGTCCGACGATTTTTTGTTATTTTCCAAATAAAATTAATCGATATGATGTCACCTTTTCCAGACTGTTAGAATTTAATGCAATAAAACAATGTAATTTCTTTTTACTCACGCAGAGGTTTTAAATTTAAAGATACTTTTGAGGACAAATTTAAGGATAATTATATATTGATTTTTAAACTTGTAGTCTCTGTAATATAAAACATAGGTTTACATTTTTTAGTGATTAGAATTGAAAAAAAGTATATTAATTTTTTTAAAAATTATATTTTAACAGATAATAAATACTTTATCTACACATGGCATATGGATAAAAACCAGGATACAAAACAATGTTAGTACTGATAGAAATAATATTACTAAATAAACGATATACTTAATAAATTAACAAGAATCAATATTGGATTATCGATAACATTCAACACTCATAAATTTGATAAATTTATTTATTCAATTAATATGATACTTTTAACTATTTTTATTTTTAGCAATAAAAAAATTGCACGTATTCGACGTTCTTAAGAGTTTTGTCAATAAAAAATGTATTGTACACATAACAAAAATCAATCTAATAATACAAATGGAAAAAAATCATTAGTTGTTGAATAGCTTCAAATGATCATTTTTTTATCGTGATATTTTAACATGGTAGATATTGCAATTTTTTTTATTTAATAAAGTTTCTCATTATTTTTAACAATCATCAATAGTCTCGATTATTTAAATATATATTGCTTTTTACAATAATGTACTGCATCGCAAGTGAGACATGTAATTATATAATATAAAACTGTACAATTGTTTTTAGTAAGATTTCCTATTAATAATTAATAAAATCTAAGTATCAACGATATTCCTAGTTACATGGTACCAGGTACAAACGTTTAATCTAAAGAGAATTATATTCTTCGAATTATATTATTAGCAAAAATTAGTTTTTTTATAAGTTTAAAATCTCACAAATGTTTCTTCTTCATTCTTCTACTATGTTCCTCTTTGGTTTGCTGATGCAGCTGGTTAATAAGTTGGCTTGGTACATCCCATAATTTATCATAATTCAATATTATTGATTCAGTTACTTGACAACACATGGCAGCTTTATTGACTTGAGCGCTTAAATCTCTTTCATCTCTAGGATAGATATAACGAGGTGGAAATAGCGATGGTGCAACTATCATAGCAACATTATGTATAGTCATTTTATTTGAACATTGATTTTCAATGACGAGTTTAAAGAAAGTTAGGAGTTCTTTTAGAGTACAACGATTTTCGACTGGAAGTAGTAACACCAACAGATTCAACGAATATGCTAGATCACTTGGATTTTTTACACCTGAAATCAACAAGTCAATTACAAACTTCAATCAATATTTGATCAATTTTTTAGATCTTTACAATTCATTGGATTATTATACATAAAATAACTAAAAACAATCCATATATAATAGATCATATGGTAATGTGCAGGAACTGATATCATGTGCTATTTTGATCACAAAATGTTTCTTACACGAGAACCTCTTTTTTTTTATTTACGAATTTTATAAAATTTCAAATTATTGAAGTAGAAAATATTTAAACTGACCGTGAGTTTGATAAAATGCATCAATGAGTTCCACTGTCAGCAAAGGTTGGGGTAAATCCCGAAGTAACTTTTTCAAAATAACTGATAAATCGTGACATGGAGTACGCTTTATGAGAATATCTATTTCTTGAGGCTTACTGAAAAAATCTGCCTCCAATTCTTTACATAAAATTTCCACCTGATGAATACGATTTTTTATGAAAAAATGTCAGTATCATTTAATCGTCGCGGTTGAACTAATCTATTGAATTTTACCTTTTGTTTATGTCCTCCAACTCGAAGAATTCCTTCTTCTGTTACTCCTCGAGTTGTCAATTCATGTAAGATTTTTTGAAAAACTAAAGGGACATTACTTTCATCATTTTGCAATTGGCTGTCTCGAAGAAGAAGAGTAGATAAAGATACTCCAAAGACATTTCCACCTGAAAAAATATACATTGCCATGGAAACTAGTGTTCATTAAAATTTATAAAGTAAGATTTTAATATACTAACATTTACGTTTTCGTTTATTAGGCTTTCTTTTGAAAAGTGGTAAATTATATTTATCAAATACTGATGTCAATTCAAGCCATAGTAAAGGCTGTAGTTTAGTAAAATCTCGTTGAGACAGTAATTGTATATCTTGTTGAGTATAATTATCATCTAAACTCATATCCATGGGATTCCACTGATTATTTTTAGCTTCATTGGCTTTGCACATTTCTTCAAAACTTAAATGTCCATGTGACGAAGTACGATTTAGGGGACGAGTTTCAGGGTTACCTTCTTTAACTTTATTTGATCCATACAAGCTACTGTGACTTCGAGTGATAGTAGCATGGTTATTTAAATTTCTGAAAAATTATTTATATCTGTAAATAACATTTAAAATAATACTTTTACGTTCTTTTTATCTTTAATAAGGCAAACCTTAATGTAATATTTTTAGATTTATTCTTTTCTAAATCACCATTGGCTACTTGACTAGGATCACTTTCATTAAGTCTTTGGATGGTTGATCTTGATAGATGTATTGTACCAAGTTTTTGATAAGCAGTTAATTTTATTCCTTCTAAAAAGTAATGATACGTAAGCAATCATCAAGTTTTGGTAGGTTGAAAAAAAAAAAATAAAAAAAAATACCTGAGTCTCCTCCAGCAATATCGCCACGATGAGACCAGTGGCCTGAACGTCGAAATATTTCATGAACAGGTAGAGCTGAGCTAGGTGAATTTGTAGAAGGACTTGATAATTTACCTATTCCTTCTTTATTATCATTAGTATGTCGATGAAATACAGATACAAAACTTGGCACATGAGAGCTAAATAAAGTTATTAGCATTGTGAATATACTTATTAATTACAATAGATGTTTAAAATTTTCAATCAATTTATTTATAAATTTACCTTTCATGGTGAGAAGTGCTTACATTAACAGATGGTGCTGACGAGGGTGACAATGATATTGAATTTTCTGAAGTTTCACCTGGAACTGAATCAAGAGAGTCTGGAGTAGCACTTCTTGATCTTGTTCCAGTACTAGATGCCTATTATTTTAAATTAAAAGTATTCAACATGTGATTCCATATATTCAATACATAAAAAACTTGATAATAGTTGATTTACCTCAGACTCTTTAAAAACATATCTAATGTCTGGCTTTTTAACTTTTTGACGTTGGTTGTATTTTTGCTTTACAGTATGATTAAGAGAATTAACACGCTTTTTAACTGCTTCAGCTTGTGCAAACGATAACGATCTGAGGGCAGCACCTAATTCTTCAGGTTGAATTTCCCTGCCCTGTTTCCATGGTTCCACAAGTTGACCTAATCCAGCTGCTTTTAACCATTCAGCTTCTGCTTCTCCATCTGTAATTTATTTGAATCAATATTTATGAAATATTTATAATATTCTTGTTTATACAAAAGCCAATAGACAATGATATACCATCAAAATTTTTTGGACAATTTTCTTCATCCAGAAAATCCTCCAAAGATTTTGTTTCCTCTAAAACTTTTTGATAAATTTCCCAACAGTCATGGGGATTAGTATTTGTTGCACTGAAATTTGAAGGATTGCTTTTATCCATTGTACAACAAATTTAGTGTCCAGAGTGTCAGCAAATATTTGGTCAATCAATCGTATCAGCTGTCATCGTGCAGAATTGGCATTAAACTGTACTTTCTAAAAACCTAAATAGTAAATAAGTATAAATTAGCTAATATGTAATTGAAATACAGGTTAATGTTCAACTAAGCGTTAAAATGATCTAATCAAGCTGAGTCATTTAAAAAAAAAATTGACCATAATTGATGTAAAGTTTTAAAAGTATCTGCTCTTGGAAAAAATGAAAAGTTCTTCAATACGTAGAAATTGTCTTGACTGTTCAAAATTTTTAAGTCATTTCATTATTATTTTGTAAAAAATAAGTAAGACTCGACAAAGTAAAAATGAAAAAAAGCATCAGGAGCTAGACATGTGTAGCTGTTAACATTAAGATGATACACAAGTGCAGAGTACCTAGGTACTTGTTTTTCTCGAGTTTTTTTATGAAAATAGAGATCTTTCGGAAAGAATCTTGATAAAATTGATACAATTTGAGCAACATATTAAATTACACACAAACTCACACTTTTAATTTGATAAAAAAGCAGGACTTTTGAAGAATGGAAATTGTGCTTCGAACCTACACATGTAATACTTATATAATGTAAGTGTACGAGTGAATATAGCTCGCGATCGTCTGAGTTATATTCTTTAAAATTGCAGGTGTAACAGTGTGTGTGTGTGTGAGTGTGTATGTTAAATCTATCTACCTGCAGCGAGCGAGCGCATACCTAGGGCATGCGTCTAATCTAGCGCCATAATCTCTCTCTCTCTCTCTCTTCTCCTGCGAATACTCGGGCGCGCCTCGTCGACAGGTAGCTTATAAATTCTTCACGAAAAGTTCCACACTTGTAAAATGTAAATTTGCGAATGTAGGCTGCATACAAGGAGCAAATACCATCAGTCGTGCAAATTCGGATAGGCGAGGATCGTATATGATAGTTAAAAAACTGGTCAACGTTGGCCAGCAGCGGTCAGTCTGCAGCGAAACCACAATCGCGATGACGGAAACTATTTTGGTACACGAATTCGATTGCGAATTGCGAAATATAACCTCGCGTGCGACTCACCTGTTGGAGTCTCAATTGGAGAGGTGAACGCGCGTTTAGCCTTGCACAGCAAACAACACTGTCTATGTAACCAAGTATATATAGCTATATACATATTTACTTTTGCCCTCGTATATGTATGTACGCGTATGTTACAGTATACAATTTTGCGTGTGCAAATTGAATGCCGCGAGCTCATAGCATGCGTCGTTTTATGGTTAATTACCAAGTAGTTGCAATTTTGGCGATGATAATTTTAATTCTGACAGAATAAGCGAATTAAACTCCCTGCGTCCATACAAAATTGAACAAACGAACTTATAAGGACGATGCTAATTGTTGAGTCCAACTTGAATAAAAATATCTCACAACGTTGTGGTACTTAACAATTAGTGATCCGATTTTTTATTTTCGTTGGTCTCCAAGCTTATCTTGACTACACATTAAACTGTACCGATTTCGCGCATTTCCTGATTCATTCTTGTGCTCATACAGTATTAATTCAATCTTTAAAACGATATATTGTTAATTTACGTTCATATAATGACATTGAATATAAAAAGTATAATACTCGATTCATCGCATATTCGATTTGAGTTGACTCGCGATAACTTTAATTTTTGGTAGCGATTTCGGAGTCAATTCAAATTTTGTGGAAATCGGTGCATGAAAAAGTAGCTCAGGTTCTGAACTATAATATTATTATTGTTATTCAAAAGAATGCTGAAAGATGCATCCAATTAAAATCTCAATTATTTACTAATAAATGAGTAAATGAAAATCAGACAAAAATACTTTGCTCGATTGACAATGTTTCATCATAGTTTGACATTCGTTTCGTCAGAACTTTTACAGATTAATTAAAATAGATAATTATATAAAGCAATTAGCATCAACAGATTCACGCAGTGAAACTTTTTAAAAGTCTTTCAGGCAGGATAAAGTTACTCTGCGATTATGAGGGTGTGAGGTGATCCTAGCAAGGTTTTTTACAACATCTCGATCCCTTGGCTCTTGATTCTTTGGCTCGTCGAGAGACGTTACAACTCAAATAAATTAATTCCTAAAATCATCATTTTTATGTAACAAAATGACATTTTATTTGTAACTAGAGAAAGTTTCAACGTTTCAACGACTGAAAGTTACAATTTAAGTACAGGAATAATTGATAAGTACCCCCTGAATAATAAAAACAGTCAATTAGGAGAAAAAAATCAATAATTAAAATATTAGACTTTTGGCAAAAAGAGAAAAAAAAGTAATGACATTAATAATAGTTGTTCAAGCTTTTGGATTAGTGCTGTGAACGTATCGATCATATAATCGAATGTTTAGCTTATGTCTCAATCCCGTCAAGGAAATAATATGAAAGTATTCGATATAATACGAACTCGAAAGTCCGAAATGATGTAAGAATATTACAAAATTTGTAAAAATTATACTCGAGCGATGGAATCAGTTGATGATACTATTAATTTCTCAGAGTTTTATGAAAATGACCATCAGTTTGTAGTTTAGCGTTGAGTGGTAAACATATCGGAGAGCAATAAGCATGGCAAAATTGTTGGGAATATGGTTTATAATTTTTGTTGGTTTTCATCAGTCGATGTCAACGAAATCAGATAGATATTATACAAAGCGAAGCGTGGCCAACGAAACATTTTTGGCTTTCGACGATGGCTCGTTAGAAAATTCAAGCACTTGGTACGGCTTGTGCGGGTTCGACGAAAATCTCGACTCGTTTTGCAATATATATCACGAGGAACTGAGGCTAGACAGCTCGAAATCTCCGGAAAAGTATTGCAGAATATATCTCGATCAAGGAAATGAAAAAATCAATCAGAGCCATGCGGACATACACAGTGTGCGCGTCAAGTCGTTGGCCGATAAGGGCGCAATCATCAGTTGGGCATCTCTTCGCGTAGAACCGTCGCATCTACAAAAGACTCTGGTCGTATCGGTGATCAATGGTAGCAACGATACCAATTGCCAAACAATCACGACAAAAATACCATTGACGGAGCATCGGCTTGTCTCGTACGATATCATCTCTCTCGAGGACAATTTCGAAGTTATCGTCGCTTCTTCGATGGGTTTCGGCCAAGATCCCGACTTGACGAGTTTCTTGGTAGACAATCAAGGCCGAGTGCTGAGCAACAAAACCCTGCCACTGGAGTTGTGGAATCTACACTCATCGTTTCAAGTCGCAACCGTACCGAGTGGCTCCAATCAGCACGATTACTTGCTTCTACAATATTATGTCACCAGCAACGACGAATACAATAGCGGAAAAGCAACTTTGACTCTTGGTGGTTAGTTAAAATTTATATCTAACTTGTAAGATTTAATAGCGATTTTAAATCTCATCTTTTCATTTTCCTTTCCTTTTGTTTTCAATTTATTCTTTTTTCAAGAATCGTTAAGAAACCTGTTCAAGATCAGAAGCATTTCAAGAGGAATTTCTCAAACTGGTAAGTTTAATCGAGTTGCTTTTTGAATCGTCGGTCGAATATGTAAATTGATTGGCCGCATTAATTTTCAATAGAGCACTACAGTGGATATGAAAGAAGTCATCGTATAATGGCCTACTCTACGGGCCACAATAAAATTAGCGTTTGTGGCCAACAATTTGAGAACATAAGGTGTAACCAATACGATCCTGAAACAAAAGAAATTACACGAGTGCTCGATGAAAAATTCGAATACCAAGTGCACGAGTTTGCCGTTTACAATACGCTCGATGGTGGCATCTTGCTCCTTACGACGGAATGTCCCGACGCTGCTTGCAAAGAGACTGGATCCTCCGGGCAAAAGTACCATGTCGCCCATCACCCGAAGGCCAGCCTCGACCATGCAACGACCAATTTATCTTTCTTGAAATATTCCTGCAATTTAGAAGAGTCAAAGAGTTTTTTGAAAATGTTTGAAAACAAAGAAGGGGAGTACTGTTTCGCCAATGCTTGTTATTATGACTCATTGAAAGCCCACCTGATAGACAAAATGCAATTTGAAATCAGTACAGTTTGCTTTAAGCTATAGTTAGAGTTTTCCTTAATAATATGTTATTTTTATTAAAACTGCGCGCTACTATTGTAAAATATATGGTGTTAACTAATTTTATGTTCTCGTTAAAATGTTATCGTAAAATGTATATCACGCAAGATGTCAATTAAAAATTGTCATGAAACACATTGTGATTTTTTATTTAAAAAAAAATACCAAAAAGAATCAGAAAGCTGTATCGAGCGATCCGAGAGACAATACTGTCGTTTCATATAGTTTTATCCATCGAAATGCTTCGATCCTACGTAATAAATTCAATAATACTTTGTCTCTTGATAAGCGGCTTTGGTGAGTAAAAGAGCGAATTTTTTTCCAAGAGGTGACGAATGACGACTCACACAGATTATAGAGCTATTTTTTTGTAAACTCGTGCAGCCAACGGGAAGAAACCATTCGGTCCGGGTGCACTAGACTGGGCTTACGCCGAAGTACGGCCCAATGCCCACATGTTCTGGTTACTGTTTTATACGACGAGCAAACAAGTCTATGAAAGGCCCCTCGTGATATGGCTTCAAGGAGGTCCCGGTGTCGCGGCTAGTGGCGTCGGAAACATCCTCGAAATCGGACCGATTGATTTGAAGCTCAAAGCGCGCACTCACTCTTGGGTACATACATACGTCATTGTATTAATACATGATCCAATCTCGTACTTAATGTTCCATCATCTTAACAGATTAAAAACTATAACGTTCTCTTCGTCGATAGTCCTGTGGGTACAGGATTCAGTTACACGAAAAATGCACAATATGCCACTTCGGACACGCAAGTCGCCAAAGATCTACTCAAGTGCCTTGCCTCGTTTTACGATAAATTACCACGTTTCAGAGACGTGCCTGTTTACATTTTCGGCCAGTCTTACGGCGGTAAAGTGGCTTTGGCTTTGGCGCAGTTTTGGCTTAAAGTTGAGATATGCCATTTTTGTCGAAAAATCTTGTTGAATCAGAGTACGCGAACGATTGTCGTTTCAGGCTCAGGAAAACAATCATATGCCAGATAATTTAAAGGGAGTGGCCTTGGGTAATGCTTGGATTTCGCCGTTGGATAGTGTCATGAATTGGGCTCCGTTTCTACTTCAAACGGTATAATTTTTATGAAACGTCATTGGGTAAGTGTCTCGCTGCTTTTGATTTCGTATTGGAAATTTTTTAACTCTAGGGTTTCGTCGATTTGGAGGGCTACGAAGCCATTCATAGTGAAGCAAAACTAACTCAAACTGCTGTAGCAGCAAAAGAATGGCAGGTAGCTTACGAGGCTCAAAAAAAAACTCAAATGGCCATCTACCGAGAAACAAAAAATATCAATTTCCATAATGTCTTTAGTAATGTTGATCTGTTGGTTCAAAAAACCAATGCCGTGAATGACCAACTGTTCAAACTGATGAACGATAGGGTAAAAAAAAGTTTAAAATTGCCGAGCACTTGGTGTGGCCAATGCTCGACAGTATCGGCTGTACTTCAAAGCGAATTCATGAAGCCGGCAAAAGATTTAGGTAATCAGTTATCGTACATTTATTCACTATCGTGACATTTCTCATCATTAGCCTCTTATTGAAAGCGCAGTGAGTTTTTTACTGGAAAAAACAAAGTTGAAAGTTTACGTATATAGCGGCAATTGGGATCTCATCGTTCCAACTGCAGGTATGCATTTTTTAAATCGATCAATGTATGAACCTTGAACCGAATTGCTACTGATTCTTTGGGAAATCGAATGTAAAGAGTACAACAGCAAAAAATGCTGCAAAGTAATTTAATTAGCATTTTATAATTGATACTAGCCTTTGATTTTGTTTCTTGATAGTTCTTTGCAAAGACTCAAACTGTTTAGATTTAAAATTTTCTATGCCAGCTTAAATTGGTCCATTCAATTTCCCTTCCATACAGTAAATTATCCTCGAGTAATTAGGCTAAAAAATTGTTTCAGCAATATACTAATTGTACTCTTATGTTGCTTCATTATAACAGGTACACTTGGTTGGATAAAACATATTAATTGGAGTAAAAAAACTTCCTGGAACAGAGCCGAAAGAAAACCATTGGTGATTGACGGTATTATAGAAGGTTACAAAAAAAGCTTTGGAAATTTTGCATTTTACTCAATTAATCGAGCAGGCCATTTGGTAAAAAAAAAATCACTGCCTTTTTAATAACTATATCAAAGTAACTAAGATCTTAAATTTCTCAGGTACCAGCTGATAATCCAAGAGCCGCTGAAATTTTACTGAATGATTTAACGTCTAGCTGAGTCTGTTTAGGCTGATTATTCTTAAACTACACAAATTGTGAAAATACATACAGTACTTGTCAATTTTTCAAGGAGAGAAATAATGACTGTATGAACTTTGGCTTGGTTGATTAAAATAATTTCTTGAAAGCCTTATACAACTTTCTTACCTTGATTTCCAAAAAAATGCTAACTGTACGTTAATCTTTTGCTAAACCTTTCATTTTTTGGACTAAATCATTATCTTTTTCAAAAAATACTTGAACAAAAAACAGCTGTAATTATGTGCCCAATGTATATTTTATTTGATACATTTTTATTTACAAATATTTATCATAGATTTTTAAATTAAATTATAAACAACAAAATATATATAATTTTATATTATTGCACTTATTCAGTATAGAATTGTAAAATTACATCTATAAAGAATTTACAAATAACTGTAATCATACATTTTATTCAAGTTGCTGAATAAAAACACTCACTTTTATCGATAAAATAAGTCTTGCAAATACTGTGAAAATGAAAATAGCTTAATTTCAAAAGTGCAAAAGTCATTTTGAAAGAGCTATGAACAAAAGTTGTGTACATTAATACAAAAACTTGAACATCATTTGTATTTATTATGAAAATACTTCTCTCAAGTCATAATTAAATTCTAAGGAATGCTCATCCGATGTGGTAGACAACGTCATAACGTAAAATTACTGCTCACACTTTAAAAAGTAAGTTCTATTTCTTTGATAAAAGCACCGCTACTGATTATTATATTACTTTGTGCATACAGTTATAAAAGAAAAAGATGAACCTCTCATAAGAAAATTTAGGCAACTGGATTTTTTTTCATAAGTTCCAGATCAGCTTGCATCATATCAATAACTAGGTCCTAAAATGAGTGATGTATATTAAAATAAAATAAAAATTTTTAGTAAAAAAGCAAGTGCTTTTATAATTACTTGGAATGATACAGTCGGTTTCCAACCCAATTTTTCTTCTGCTTTGCTGGCATCACCCAGTAAAAGATCCTTCAGTCAAAAATAAAATTATTTACTTGTATTTTCATTATTTTGTTTATACATGTAATCATTTTATTTATAAATGCAGAGAATTTTAACAGCGCTATACTTACAACTTCAGTTGGTCTGAAATATTTCGGATTTACTTTAACAAGTACACGGTCTGATTTCGCATCTTTACCGACTTCATTAACATCTTTGCCATCCCATTTAATAGTTATTCCTACTATTTTGAAAGCTACCTCAACAAATTCTCTAACACTATGAGTCTCCCCTGTTGCGATAACATAATCGTCTGGGGTATTCTGTTGAAGCATCAACCACATGGCCTGAAATCATCATGTTGAAATAAAAATTTATTTTTATTGAAAACATAAGAGAGCATTTTTATCACCTTGACGTAATCTTTGGCATGACCCCAATCTCTTTTGGCATCTAAATTACCAAGTTCTAAAACTTCTTGAAAACCCAAATGAATTTTTGCTATGGATCGTGTTATCTTTCGAGTTACGAAATTTTCCCCACGGCGAGGACTCTCATGATTGAAAAGTATACCATTGCATGCATACATATTATAGGCTTCTCTATAATTTACAACAATCCAGTAACTGTACATTTTGGCACAAGCTAAAAAAGTTCATATTCAGATAGTTAATAATAAATGTATGGTACACAAATGAATTTGACAAAATAATGAGCTATCTCTATTTACCGTATGGAGATCGAGGATAAAATGGAGTTTTTTCATTTTGTGGTACTTCTTTTACCTTTCCATACAGCTCAGAGGTAGAAGCTTGATAAAATTTAACTTTTTTTTCCAAACCACACGTGTTGATTGCATCCAACAAGCGAACAGTGCCAACTGCATCAACTTCAGCTGTGTATTCGCTCAATTCAAAACTGACCTAAAATTCTCCATGATGCCTTGAGTTTGTTGAAATATTCACCTGTACTAGGATTATTACAATTTTATAGATACTTACTTTAACATGACTTTGAGCAGCTAAATTATAAATTTCTGTTGGTTGCACTTTACTGATGACTTTGACAAGGCTACTGGAATCAGTCATGTCGCCATAATGAAGTTGCATTTTACCTTGTTTGTGACATTTTGGATCATCATACAGATGTTGAATTCTTGTAGTATTAAACGAACTTGCTCTCCTTATTATACCATGAACTTCATATCCCTTTTCAATAAGAAATTCTGCCAAGTACGAACCATCCTTGTTTTAAGACAAAATTATTAGTAACATAATGAAAGTGTAAGAAAAATTGGATGATGTCTGTAAGAGTCAACCATTCATGCGACAATAGTATATTACGTGCCTAGGGAGCGAAAAACTGGAATGCCTCAGAGCACATGCAATTATCGTCCGAGGCGAAGCCGAGGCTTTCTTTTTCGCTTCATAGGTGCGTATACTATTTTTCATGAATCCCCCAGCAGAAATTAACTTTTTCGTTTTGGCCGCCGGGACGAAAAAGGTTAGCTTCGGCTGGAGTAGCATAAAACAATTATTAATCTACTGTTTAAAATGATTATAAAAAGAAAATATTTTATAGTAACAAACCTGACCGGTTATGCCGGTAATGAGAGCAACTTGTCTAACTTGATCCATGTCTATTGTTTTGCAGTATCGAAAAACAAAAATCTAGTCTAGTACTATGTAAATTAACGTCGGCCGCTGTATAATATCTTGAAATAAGTCTGTGATAAGACTTATTATTTGCATGCAACGTCGATCATTATTGAAAACCACACGATAATAGTCAAACGTAGAAGTATGTTGCATCTACACAAGCTTTGCTAGTATATATATTAGTCAATGTATACATACAAGCTCACTGACAACCCTATAGGCTATTCTGCAATGGCATACCAACTTTGACAGTTGGAGCCAGAACTAATTTACTGTCATTAAAGTAGATTGTTATGCTATGTATACTACAATATATAGAAAATCTTGACTATTTTGCGGCTTGAAGCTTAAATATGGGCAAGTGCGAGTGCAGCAGTACCTGAATCTTCAATTGCAGAAGTAAACAGTATCAATTCGTCTGCAACTTTAGTACAGCTGATCTGTTGATCTTCTGTCCTACTTTAGAGTAAACTAAAGTGCTGTAGTTTGTAATTTATTTCATATTATACAAGCATAAACATGAATTTTAAACGATTTACTCATTTAAAACTCCCACCAGAGCAATATTTGCGAAAGAATATTCATAAATACGCTACTGTTTGCGAAACGAATGATACAAAAAATGTTGGTAAACGACTCGAGGTTCAGGTTCGTAAAGTGCTAAACGTTTGTTTTTACTGCTTTAAAATTTTATTGAATTTTCACTGATATAAAGTTTCCCAGTATTTTATTCGTGGTATTCAACTTCTCTAAATATTTCAGGGATGGGTCAGAGCTCTGCGAAAGATGAAAAACAATATCTTTTTAGATGTCAATGATGGAACATCTAGTCAACATCTACAAGTGGTTTTGAATAAAAATCAAAAACCAGAAAATTTAAATTATGGTTGTAGTATTGTAATTGAAGGCCAAGTAGCACAAGCGCCCAATGGTAGAGCAGAGCTACAGGCTGAAAATATTCAAGTCATAGGCAATTGTGACCTTAACGAATATCCTTTTCTGCCAAGGAAACAATATGAAAGTGAATATGTTAGACAATTTTTGCATTTAAGACCAAGAACAAGAACATTTTCTAGTATTATGAGATTGAGAAGTTTGGCATCCGATGCAATAAGAGACCATTTCTCAAAGCACAATTTTATTAATGTAGATACTCCAATTATCACATCAAACGATTGTGAAGGTGCAGGAGAAATTTTTAATGTTCAACCAAATTCTCATGAACTTCTTGCAAAAATGAAAAAAGAAGGTAGTACTGATGACACTGCTACTTACTTCAATACTAAAACTTTTCTTTCTGTATCTGGACAATTACATCTTGAAGCTTGTGCAAGGTAAGATCTTTAATATCACAATGAAAATTTTATTTTACAAGCATTAATTTTATTATTACAGGGCCTTATCAAAAGTGTATAATTTTTGTCCAGCATTTAGAGCAGAAAATTCAAAATCAAGGTTGCATTTATCAGAATTTTACATGATTGAAGCTGAATTAGCTTTTATGACGTCTGTAAGAGATTTAGCAAATGAAGCAGAACTATTAGTCAAGTCCACTATGTTGAGGATCATAGAAAAAGGAGCATTAGACTTAAAATTTGTTCAAGCACCAGAACCAGCATGGCTGAATAGAGCATTCGGATTTATAACTTATCAAGAAGCATTAGATACACTTAATCGCCATGCTGATAAACTTGCCTTTCCAATTAAGCAGGGAGAAAATTTTGCTAAGGAGCATGAATTGTTTTTAGTTCAACATTATGGTAATGTCCCAGTTTTCATAGTAGATTGGCCAAAAGAATGTAAACCATTTTATATGCAGGAATGTGACTATGATAATAACAAAGTAAGAAAATCAATGCATTGTCATAAATATTCAAATGAATTCTTTTAAAACTTTATTTTTTTTTTATCAAGGTAAAAGCATTGGATTTATTAGTTCCAACAGTTGGTGAACTTATTGGTGGAAGTGTTAGAGAGGACAATTATGTAAAATTAAAAGATAAACTACCATGCAATTCTAATTTAGACTGGTATTTACAATTAAGAAAGTATGGCAATGTTCCAACAGCTGGTTTTGGAATGGGATTTGAACGCTTTCTACAATTTATTTTGGGCGTACCAAATATTAAGGATGTAATTCCTTTTCCAAGATGGCCATACAATTGCAATCTGTAATATGACACCGATCGCCAAACAATTGTCATTTGTGATTTATTCGTGTTACTTGATACAAAAGTAATAATCTTCAAACTGTTGTTTTTTTTATTGAAATGTACTCTGTTGAAACATATAAATTGATAGAAACTATAAACTGAAATAGATATAAGGTGTAAAAAAATAGACAAATTTTTGAAGTTTCAAGTATTTTATTTAAGATTTTATTTATCTTATGTTATCCAAGTTTATTATTAGCAGCATGAAAATAGATATGGAGCCACTTTTACACAAAACGTGTAAAAAAATTAGTTTCAATGTTGACCAAACGATTTAATAGCCATATATCAGCACTATTAATAAAAGGAAAAATCAAGTTTCATTTTGTAATATCAGTGTAAATAAATTATGTAATTCAATTTTATTTATATAATATAATAAACTAACTGCGACTTGAGAAAAAGATTAAGGAAACCATACTATTTTTTAACCAAGTAATTAATAATTTCATGAAATGAGTGATTAATGGTAAGGACTTGAGAGGTGCCTTTAAACAAAAAAATCCTTCGAGTAATAAAATAAAGCTTATGCTGAATCCTTGTTGTTTTTTATCGTTACAATAATTGTAAAATCGCAGTTATCATAAACATTGAAGTAAATATTTACACAACATCACAGTACTTAGAAAACTATTTACAGTTTCTTATAATTTCATACTTAATTTTTTTTCTATTTATAAACAATCATTCATCTGTGCACTTTGTAATCAAATTTGTTGAAACAAACTTTATGCACTGAAAATTTTCTATGAACATAATCAACGAATATGCAATGCAATCATCAAATCAGTGTTGATTATTATGTACAATACATTTTGCATTTTTATAATACATTTACATTACTGAACATAGCCCTGAAAGCTCTTCACCTTTACAAACAGTTTTTGATAAAACCTTCAATTCTTTATTACGAATAGCTGGCTTAATTGATTTCGGTTTTGGTGGCACTTCCAGTTCTTCTTCAATCGCATTAGGTTCTTCTTTTGCATGAGTTTTTTCCCGGGCAGATTCATTCATAGTTCCAATTGGTTTGGTAATGTTGATTTTAATTTTAGATTGAGTAGCCGGCACAGCAGATATTGAGGACTCTAACTCTACATTACCATCAATGGTACTTTTGACTTCAACTTGTGTTGAATCAACCGAAGTTCGTATTGTACTTTCATCTGCTGTAAACACAACGGTTATTATTAATTATCCAGATACGAAAAATGGCACTAGTTGAAAAAAGCTAATGCTTTTTCATCTCATTATAATGGTAATCATTACCTGCTCCACAGTCATTTGACGATTCGGTAGTTAAATTACTTGATTGGTCCTCGATTGATTTTGAGATGTTTGTATCATCAATGTGTTGATAGGGTGTTAAAATTTCCTCCTTCACAAGCGTGGCCATTTCGTGTTCACAATTTGTTTCAGTATCACTTCCTTCTAAATTTGCTTTTACAACTGAATTATTTTTTTCTGGTTCTTCTGAAATGAATAAATGAGTCTTTTAATTCGTGGTGTTATTCAATTGAAGAACTGCAACGGAGAAATACAAATAAATCAGGTCCAGAAAGTTGGTTACTTTGCTCTACTTTTGAATTTAATTAACGCTACAAACGTACCAAACATACGATACACTGTGTATTATTAAACGAAAAGAGAGAAAAGATTAGCTGAACCCAAATATACAACATTTAATATTGATAAATATGGTAAGTATAAAATAAATATGAATTTTACAATTTTTAAGATAATTTTGCAAACGTGGAATATAGCTAAGAACAAACGCATTGTCTCAATGGAACATAAGCTCACAATTGAAGCTTATGATTAAGGTAACAAGATTTATCCGGCGAATAATTATCGATTTAAAAGATAATATGCATCATGAATAAACGATCAAAAGATTGCAAGAATAAAAAAAAAATTTTTTTAAAGTACTCAAGTCAAGACTAATCAAAATGTATGCCAATTAGAAAATACTAAATTATATCACTTGATGAAATGTAAGAAGGGTATTCTAATTTGACAATTAAATATCAACATACCCATTTCAGGTTCAACGAGTTCTTCAGCTGGTTCACATTTTATTTTTTCAAGTGAAATATCATCACTCATTGTTTGCATTTCACAATTGTTTTCATTTGTTTCTTCTGCTTCTAGTTTTACATCCAACTTGTCTACATCCGGATCATCATCAACGTTATTAGTTTCATTGTCATTTGGTGCAGGCGATAATGGAGGTGATAGAACATGTTCATCCTCGAAAGATTTCTAAAAATTGATTAATTGTTTATTATTATCAAATGTTTGAATGAATGTTTCTTCAAATTAGAGATAAGAAATGGCATTGACTACTACAATAAACTATTAATTATTTAAAAAAAGCTTAAACAAGTAATTGAAGCTTTCAAAACTTATCGACATACCACAAAAAGTTTTTCCTTTAATGAAATGTTGAAAAAAACAATTCATATTAGTTTAAACCTGAACCATTCAATCTGTTACTATTTTTTTCAATATTCAATTGAACTCACCTTATAATCTTCTAAGCATATAGGATGAAAATTTTTGTTATCGAAACTAATAGCCGGTCTAAGGTGCCATTCTTCTTTTTCATCGTGATAGAATTGTTCGAATGCCTCTCTGCAAACTTGACAAAAGGCATCGTCATCCATGCCAGCGGGAACGGTAGGCTGCATGGTGTCAGGAAACACGTCTTCAGTAGTAGCATTTTCGTTTTCCATCGTCTGCCTTTCGATTTCAAACCAACTTTGCGCTACAGAAGGAAATAATTTGATAAAATACTCGAGCCTTAGTCTGTACAATTATCATAAATAAATGTCAAAAATTGAGTACCTCTATCTTCAAGGTCTTCTATCTCTTCAAACTGTGCCCATTCATTAAATTCATAATACCAAGTTCTGGAATGTGCTTTTTTCGATGATTCTTTTTCTTTACGGTTCTGCCTGAAGTGCCAATCTAAATGATGACTGTAATGCGTAGCCATTTCAGGGGCAAATCTGTCAGGACAGCTTCCACATTGAATTCCGCTGTAAAGTGTTTCAATGACTGCAGGATTCCTTCTAAAGAAAAATTGTATATTAGTAATCGAGTCAGTATACAAAAGAATTTAAATATAACAATGAATAAAATTTTAATTTACAATTTTAAGCTCTCTGGCTTATCGAATGACACTTGAACAGTTTCTTCAATTTTTTTCTCTTCTTCTTCTGGTTTTTTTGGTTCAAGAAGATTCGTCACAATTCCTGTTTCAACCAACTTTTGATAAAGTTCATTAAGATTTAACGGTAACTGAGCGCTGAGCGCTGATGCATTTTCTATAGTTAAATCTGTTTGATAAGAAAGACCCGATGATGGTGCCATTGCTGATGGTACCGCTGATGACAAAACATCCAGGCGAAGATCTTTGCACCAAAACGGAAAGAATGTGTGAATCATGTTGTACAATTATGAGTCATATCAATAATAAATATGTATTATTCAATGGCACTTTACGTTTATAAAATGTCAAGATATTAATTTTACAGAAGCTTACCAGATTTAGGGATGTAAGATTGATCTATACCATCTTGAGATCCAGAATCAGGTTCAATCGGAGACGGCACGGAATTATTGGAATTTTCCAACTGCGGTAAGCTCGCGGGGGATCGTTGATCTTCCATCTCTTTTGGTTGTTCACCCTCCATACCGGCAATTTTTACGTAACCAGCTTTAAATCCCATCGGTAATGCGGAAAAGCGCAAAAAATGTTTCTTTCCTTGAATCACAACTGGTTTAGGCAAACCGCCAAACTCGACAGGAAAAGCTTTACCATTGAGTAAAACTACTTTAAGAGAATCGATAAACTTAAGAATAATTGGTTTGCCTTCGATTTCAATCCTATAAAAATATTACTTTTGCTCAACAAATTTCTATTTTTGAATTTCTTATAAATAAATATAACCACTCACAATTGAGGCTTGGCGTCCAAGAAAACTGGAACCATACTTCTGGCATTAATGATTAAATTAATTTTACCGATTACCAGATCGGTTCGCTTCAATTGACCAATCTTCACTTGCGGCGCTGGTCCATCTAATTTAACATTAACTTTTTTGCCATTCAGTTCAACGGGTATTGATGCACCTCCAAAGTAACACTGATACCATTTATCGTTTATAAATAATTCACGCGTTGGAGCTCCCAGCTTTATCCTACAATTGAGATTAAAAGAGTAATTTTAATTTCGATATTTAGTCATCAAAGTTTATCGTGAGTTTTCGTCTTACCTATAAATGGTACCATCATAATTAAATTCTCTAAAATCATCATTGAAGCTACAAACAGCCACTTCTTTTCCATCGATGTAAATTTTTCTGGCTCCATTTTGAAAACCAATATCTCTAGGATCGTTCCAATGCATAAATATTACACCTTGGTTGTCATAATACCTTATTTCTCTGGGTACATTATCAATGTTGATTGATTTCATAGAATCCTTTTCTATTTCTTCGACCATTTTAAGATCAGCTGGCGGTAGATCATCATTATTTACGTTCGTTACTGGGGTGTTGCTACCACTAGAGCTGGAACTCATTTCATCGACTTCATTTTTGTTATTCAGATCGGGAGAAGTTGAGAAACGTTTAGATAAGACAGGCATCATAAGGTTAGTGGCGATAGGTCCCATTGGTCCCAACATAGGATTAGGAAGCATAATAGGTCCATTAGGACCCATAGGTGGTGGTCCAAGACGAGGATTGTAGCCACTGTGAAATTGATGATGGAAATCAGGTCGCATTGGTCCAGGACCAAAGAGCCGAGGGTGACTTTGCCAAGGACCCATTGGCCGAAAATCTGGTGGACGAAAAGGAGGTGTGCCAAATGAACCAGGACCGTGTGTCCAGGGTTGATGCCAGGGTGATTGCCAACGAGGACCTAAAAAATGTATTTCAGTGTATTTCGTAAGAACTATTTTTCATGTAATGAATAAATTAAATTATAATAACAATTACCAGGTACTCTAGGATGCATACCATGATCCTTCCCTCGCAGTCCTTTGTCTCCTCTTTCCCAACCTTTACTTTCCCATTCTTTTCTCTGAGCGGCTTTGAGTTTTTGATCCTCACTCATATGTAAAACTTCTTGTATCAACTTGTTGTACTGAGCTTTCGTTATAGTTCCTTGGTTGAGTTGTTCTGCAGCTTGTTTCATTATAATTTCGATATTTCTATCAGAATTTCTTTCGCTATATTCTCTGTTGCCTCGTTTTTCTGTTTTGTTGAAGGCTTTTTGACGCGATGGACGATCTCGGATTGAAGAACGATTGGAATCATTACGCGAATGTTCAAATTTCGACCTGCTATCGCTATCATTATCCTTCAAATCATTTGATATTTTAGGTGGTGGAGGTACAGATGGTAGTGCTGAAGTAACAAGTTGCGCCGTTTTTGTAACTGGCGCAAGTAATCGTAGATCTACGTCTTCTTTGCCGAACAGTCTTACATGAAAAAGATTAATAATTAATAATAGAGTAAATAATAAAATGACAACAACAAAAATTAGAAATAAAATTTCATTAAACTCACTCGTCAAATACTTCGCTCTTGCTTTTTTTCGATTGACTTGAAATTGTATCAGTTGGCTGTCTTTTGCTCGGAATCGGTGGAAGGACTCGCAAATCCAAATCTTCTGTAAAGCAAATTGTGTAACATTAAAATATAAGCTCAATAAATTTGCTAGGACTATTTTTAATTTTAACATACTTATTTCTTTCATAGCAATTGCAGCAACTCTAAGATCTTCATCTTTATTATCACAGCAGTCTTTCCTTTTGCTCTCTTCTTTGCATGTAATCTCCGGACTCTTACTTTCTCTTGTTCTTTTCCTACTTCTGCCACTTTTTTCGGGACTAACAGATTGGGGTGATAAACTAATGGATCCACCAGATTTTTCTTCGTCGGCAGAACTCTGATCTTTAGGCCTGTGTTGACGATGATGCCGATGATGTCTGCTACGATGTTCATCTGGCGAATGACTACGTTTTCGAGACTTTTTGTGAGGTGAAGACTTGCTACTTCTTCTGCGTTTTGTTGACGACGAGGATGACGATTTTGTTGGCGATAAAGGGGGTGATGGATTACGAGGTTCTACCTTAATCGGGCTGATGGAACGATCGCGTAATTTTGTTATCAGAGGTGGTGGTGGCGATGATATTCTTGGGGAAGTATGTGTTTTTGGCGTTGGACTACAACTTTTTGGTTTTGAATGCGAACTTGACGGTAAACTCGGTTCAATATTGCCATTTTGAAGAGCAGCAACTGTTTTTTTCCGAGGATCGGTGGGATGCAGGCTAGGAGTTGTTAATTTTGCTCTACTTTGTATCGTCAACGTTTTCTCTACGGACTGAAAAATGTTAAAATACTTTTAGTTCCCCAGTCAAGAATTTTATCAAACACTTTATCCATTTTAAAAACAGAATAATTTGTTATTACCTTTTTATCCAAGTTGTCAACAATATTTGAAGATGTGCTAGGTTTATTTATCATAGGTACTTTAGAAGAACCACAATTGGCAAACTAAAAACATCATATCCATCAAATGAACCAAGTTTAAATTAAAAAAAAAAAAAAAAACTTATAACAACTTACTTTATCAGATTTTGTAATTGTTTGTCTGTGCTGTAGTGCAGCTTGTTCGAGCTCCTGTTTTTTCAACTCCAATTTTTTTAATTCTTCATGCTTTCTCAACAACTCATCTCGCATTTTCTGTTCTTGCAGTGATGCTTCTATTTCTATTTGCTTCGAGGGTAATTTTTTGTCAGGTACAATCTTATCGAGTACTGTTTTACCTGAATACGGGGCAGGTTTAGATGGAGATACTTCAGCCACTGGTTTCGGTGCATTCTGCTTCTAACAGAAATAAATATTTAGCAAGCAAAAAAAAGAAAACAAATCAATTATCAATACAACTTTTTCTGTGATGGACGCCATACCAAAAATTGCGGGTTAACATGTATTACATGTTTTGGAGCTGATGTTGGTAGCGATTTTGCAACTGACACTATTGGCCAGGCTGGATCAATATTGTTAACTTGTACATCTAAATCATATAACTGCTTGGCAGGGAAAATGTCATTCCATGTATTTCTCAGCTTCCACATCTTTGACCTTGTACTTTCGTCCACCTTATAAAATTATATACATATAAATTTCATATTTGATATTTTTTAAAGAACTGTGTTAAAATTGAAAAATTACCTTCTCAAATACTTTGCAAAATGTTTGGACTATATTCTTTGAGAAAAGTTCTAAATAGGATCCACCCAAGTTTTTAACAATGGAATCGATGAGATAAAGTACAGGTAGTTTGATCTCATTCCGCACCTAATAAAAAAAAGTACTCACTCTATCCTTATAATGCTCACATTTTCCTTTGCGCCTTAATCCTTTTTTCATTTAAAGCTAAATATTTTTTCCTTTTATTTAGCTAATGAATGTTTAAGTTTTGCTTTTTTTTGCAATACGATACATTTTATTTCACAAAATAACAAAAATAGAAATAACTACTCAGTTCAAATTCAACTAAATAAAAATAAGAATAGATGGTATTATCTAATACAAGTAGTGTGTACAATGTGTGGATAAATTTTTATTTTATTTTAATTCTCTTATATATTTACAAAGTACATTAACGTACAAAGAATAACACAGATCTCCTTGATTGACATAAATTTTTCCATGTTAAAAATTTTACCTAAATAACAGGAAAAAACTTGCGATGTTTGTAAGCGGTTTCATATTTTTGATTTTGAAAAATACGAAACATTTGAAAACACAATTTGAAAAAATACTATACCAATTAAAGCAGAATAAATTGTGTTTAAACTCAAGATGAGTTTTTGATATCCAATGAAAATATTGATTTTATAAAATGGGTTGATGATTGTTGGGTAAACAAAAAAATACTAAAATGAAAAGATAAAGTAAATACTTATACGGGCTGATAGACATCTCAGGATCAATTTTTTTATGATTGCTGTTTGAATGATATAATTTTATGTCAGAAGCACATTTTACAATTGAAAAATATTTATTAATTAGGGAGATATTGCAGTTTGTCCAAGTAATTTTTCAATACTTGGAATGTAAATTATTCTGATTGCGTTCTTTACTACACTATATATATTTTTTAAACTTGTTCATTTTTTTTTCAGTACTCTCAAAATTTCAAAATTTCAACAATATTGCACAGTTTTTAAATAATATTTTTCAAAATTACTTACAATCAATACAGTCTTTATCAAAATAATTGGGCTCTAGGTGGTTTTGGAAAAGTAGTTAGATGTTTATAATCATGTAAAATCAAAATAATCTTTAATGCATAAGTGCTTTTTCAAAGCCACTTATAGTTCAATCACTCTCTGAGTTTAAGAATTATATACCAAAAAGTCTTGAGCAAACTGCTCTATCTCAGTAATCAATGAGAATTCTTTCAATTTGTAAAATATGTCAGAATAATATGGAAAAATTTTACTTTGAAATATAACAAAAACTAATTCATTTGGGAAAAACTGCAAATAATTAACCTTCTCCAGGAACAAAATTGATACCAAAATATGTAGCCCATATAAAATTATACCATAGGATAAAATTTTTTTTGAATTGTATGTATCAAGGCTAATAATATTTTATATTTAAAACAGAGAAAAATGTAAGTTTCTTTGGCTAAGTATCATTAAAATTGTTTAATTAATAATAATTAGAATTAACTATTTCATTTGTCTTGACAAGCAAAAAGTTATCCCAATACAAATTAAGAGCTAAATTTTGATTTTTTTTGTATCATCATAAGATAGTAACCTTTAGCAAATGGACTTCTACTGCTGCAACTATCGCTGATGCGTATTCAATGTAATCTTCAGCTAATTGTGTCAACATATTGATGTAAGGTTTGCTGTTGGATTTGAGATCTTGGAGAGAAGAAACATACTCTTCCACGATCTCAGTTGCTTTTCCTTGACTCAATGGATTCATGTCGGAGAGCATTTCTTGATAACGTTACAGTGACGGAAAACAACCTGCAAAAGCCAAAATAAATATTACATTTCTCAACAATACAACAGATACATTTTTTCATGTTAATTTATTCATTTGTATTTCCAGTATTATTTCACTTTAAAAAGTCATAGTGAGAAGCAAACAATTCCAGTATTAAATTTCGATAAACGCGCCTTAGCCATATTGTTCGTCAGAGGCTATTTACAACGAGCTCGAGCTGAATAATTTCGTAAGTAATGACCTATTAACGACTATGGAAGGCTGAATTATTCGATGTTTAATATTTACCTGCACAAATATAATTAATATTCGAGTACTGCTTGGTGAATTTCAAAGATAAACAAATGATTTGTAAGTGTATTTAATGTAAGTACACAAGTAGTGGACGCTGATTGCCTGCGTTATTATTTCGCTCTAAATACTCTGAAAGTATTCACACATACAGAGTGTTCAATGTTCGTGAGTGTACATAACCTCATCCAAGTGTATAGCTATATGTACATTTTAATGTATGTGTAAATGTATACATGAACGAAAAGCCTAAAGACATATGCAATGCACATTCAGGCACAAAACTATAAAAAACATTATCTAGCTTGGAATTAAATCGTCTCCCAACTGAACTAGATATTGCAATGTATTGAACGATGGCCACAATCATATATTTTATCGCTTTAAATCAAAGTATATCGAGCTGTAACGCGAATAATGCACGAGTGACCTAAAGTCATTGTCTATAATATCACTTGTCCGTTCATGGCTCATATCGACATTACAATCTAATAAATCTTCTGTCCCTAAATATCATTACTCATTAGAGACCGCAAATTTCACCCGCGACTCGCGACACTTTTAATAGTATTTTCTTGAAGGTTATTGATATAAAGCACCAACTAACCCATTAAAATCGATAAGCATCTATCGATTGAAGAACGAGACAATGTATCGATCACGCACACGACTAAAATTACTCACTGTTAACGAAGACAGATCAATTAATCGATTATAACTACACACTAAGGCTCATGCAGCCATGCAGACTGCAGCTTACTCATTACGATGAGTTACTTACGAGTTACGATACGATCTATAACGTCTAACGACGAGAAGCTCGAGTCCCGTGTCGGTTCTGACATCTCGCGGTCGGAGCTTCATTTGAAAATGTCTTGTCGGTATGTCCAAACTTTATAAACTGCATATATAGCCTACCGAAGCGAAAAAAAAATACCAGAAAAATATAAAAAAGTGTCTTGCTAAACATAATGAAACGTTCATGTATAAAATGTAATTATTTCAAACTTTTCGTAATGGTTCAAATCCTATGAATAACATTACTGAAATAAGTGGCTAAAGAATTTATGAGTATATCACTTTCGTCTCGTATCTCTGGGCAAAAAATCCAACTATAATTCAAAATTCATTAGGTAAACATTTTTATCAATAGCATCGGTGAAATATAAAATATTATTTTTATTCATGATGCACAGTCGGAATAAAGCGCGCAACCCGAGAACGAGTGTATTGTACAAGAACGGGCTCAGCCGTAGGAACTGAAGGTACTAAGATATTTTTTGCAATCCTTATGCAAATCAGGTCAATAAAAGCGATGAAAGTCGGTAAAATCAAAGCTGTTTATTTATTTCAAAATCGAAAAAAAATTCTAGTCCCTTTGCTTACAATTGGACCGTGCTGATAGTGCTGCTATTAAGATGGATCGGTTTTGATTTGACAGAACTGATCCGAAGATAAGATTATGATTGAATGTTTAGACCCAATCTGCTCGATCTCGCTGTTACTGGCTCAGTCTTTCTTAGCTTTTTTTTGTGTACTATTCATACTGTGTATCGTTTCGTGCACCAGTGCAACCAGTGTGAAACGTCATGTACAAAAAAAGTGAAATGTTTAAATTGCGCAAGTTTCTAGCGGCGATTGCCATTTTACTGACATTTATATTCGGTCTAATAATTTATTCAACTCCGTCCAGTGATAGAGACAAAATAATCGAGCCACAAGCATCGCCAGTCACAAAGTCACCGTGCGAGTGGACAAACACTGATTTAATTGCCTTCGCTGAAGACGGTTCATTCATCAAGCTCGAGCCCGAATTTGGTAGATACGAGCCTTTGTCCAACGGCTCGATCCCCAACGTAACCACATTTGATATTTATCGAAGCAGAGCCATTTTCTACGCTACCAACGGAAAAGGACCAATAAGATCAATCTGCAAAAGCTACGATGATATAGAGAACTTGACGAAAAATTTGAACATAAAGGCTATTGCCATCGATCAGAGGAAACATGAGTTGTATGTTCTTGACGATAAAAAATATCTAATTCATGTTATTAATCTGAATGGTAGTAAAAAATTACGTAAAATTGTAATACCGAAAAATAAGAGTGACGCCGAGCCTTTGAGGGACTTGAAAGTAGATGCAAATAATAATTATATTTTTATTTTGAAGGAAAAATCGGTAAGTTTTCGACAGCCCCGTGATTTCGTCTATGCAAATAATCGAGCATTTTCATTGCACTTTTCAGGTACATATATTACACATGAATGGTACCTTCATTAAAAAGTATTCACTCTTCCAATCTATCGCATCCATGACAATAGATAGCGTAAAATCAGTACTCTATGTAACAACGAACTGCGGTATATTCAGTAATAATTATCTGAAAAAAGGAGAGCTTTTAAACGTTCTCAATCATCGCAATACGGTTGTGCGACAGATCGTCTTCATGCGAGACGAAAACTCGAACGAGAAGCTGTATTGGATAAACTGGTCAAAGATTGCAGAAAAGTCATTTAAAAAATGCCACTTAATTAATGGCCGTTGTAGTGAGGCTATAAAGATCGCTAGCGACGATAATGTTGCGATTAAAATATTAATAATGAAATGGTATCATTTCATTCATGATGCTGATAATATTTTTTAATGTAAAGTGAAATCAGTGAACATTTATATGATGGCACAGTTAAGCCTTTGAAATTTTGATATTTTTATAATTGAAACTGATTCATTCAGATTCGTGACAAGTAATATAAATTTCCTGGCATTGAACAACTAATATAATCTGTCGAAAAGCTGTGAATGAAATTAAAATTGGTACGTTGACAGTATTCTGAGAAAGTCCTTTTTTTTCAAAGATAAAACCGCTGCTGTCAGATTTAAGAAAGCGAAAGCGCTTGATTGGCTTATCAATGAGTGATTCTTATCAATACTAAAGTAATGAATAATTGATGTAAGAGATACTATTTGTAATATAATTTACCAAAACTATAACAGTCTAGCTGTTAAGATTGCTATCAGCTATTATCAATCGGTTCATGTCTTTAAAGCAGCACTCGGCATCTTTTTGAAATACAAGTTGAGTACTGTTACGGCTGGAGAGCCAATTTATAATAAATAATATCTATTGTTTTTATTCTGGCAGGTGACAACGAGGGAAAGTATATATGATTTGGTTGATTTGTGTGGTGTGGAGTAGTCGTTATCGTTATTATTTGTTATAATAAATTACACTGCAATATTATTCATCCATTCAAATACAAAAGTTTAACTTACACCTAGGCTTACTCAACTAATTAAAAATAATGTACATAAGCCTGGTGGACGATTCTCGGTGTAGATCATGGCTCACTCTGCAACTGGTTAGCTGGCGTTCCTGGTTGGCTGCACTGCACTAACTGCACTAGTCTCGATTACAAATTACACTCCGCATTGGACTCGCGGCACAATTTAATACAAGTCTAAATGATATAAAATCGCGGTACAAAGTGACGTGAGCTCTGCCCACCGAATAAGTTGATAGTCGAATCGCCCAGAGGCCTCCGTGGGTCCTCAATATATACTGCTAAATTTCGCATGCAAAATTAAGAGAAAGTACCTGTCAGCACCTGCTCATCCGTGAGAACCTGACGACAGCTTTTTGCTAATTTTTACGAGTTCATTGATCTTCCTGCTAATCTGACATCGCCTCACATTTAATCAATGCTTGATATGGCGTGTCTATTTCACACCTTTGTAAGAGGTGTGGATTTCGATGTTCTTTTCATAGAACTCGATGTTTTTACCAATTTTATAGCTTTGTTTTCTACTTAGCTTGATGTCGTCAGATCCCGTAGATCGAGGCTGGCGCGTCCGTTCGTAGAGTGAAATTTCATGTTTATCGTTATTTGAATATACATTATTTTTACGAATATTATAATTGTTTATAATAAAATAAGGGTGACGTGACAGTACGATAATTATATTTTGAATTTTACATTTTCTACCAGTAAATTTACAAAATAAATGCATTATTGGAGATCCGCGTCAGTTTTCCTTCATTTGAGATACTTCACGCTCAACCGAGGAATTTTATACATTTTATGGACAGTTTCAGTATGGCTTATTGTCTTGTGAAATAGTCCACATACACTTCATTATCTACTAATTAAAAAATATCATCATAAATAATTGTTTACTCAACAACAGATCTTTTACCAACGTTTCAAGTTTATTGCAATTATGTACAAAACTGGTGTTACACTTGGCCGATTGTGCTTATTGACGCCAACAACCAAACCTATATTTAAGCGTACACTGAAAAAATTTTGCACTGAATTCGTGTTCACCTGTGGTCTTTTATTGATATCACACTATAGTGTCTTAACTTTATATTCAACAGTTAACTTGAAGAAAGTTCACGGCTACGGTGACAGGAATTTAGGTTCACGGTGAACGCGATTATCAAGCACTTTTTGTTGTCGATTAGACGATTGGACTATATTTAAGTAAAATCTTACATAAACGAGCCTATTTTCTTTATAATATTCGAAAATATTGTAAAAACTTTGTTATTTAAAAAAAAAAGATTTATAAAATATTGCAGTAAAATAGTCGTGATTTATTGTACTTATCAATATTATTTACAAAGGTAACAAAAATATCGCTTATCAGTTATGCCTAGTAACAACAGTGTGGCGATTTGTTTCAATGACTTCATAAGCATGAATATGTGTATCAAATGATACAGTTTCTAATAAGTTTACACGGAAAAAAATTAATTTATCCGTTTTGTATACATATATGTTATAGCCAGCCAGCTAATAAATAGTGCCATGCGTAGCCGTAATTGCTTTCGAGCGTTGGCTTTACGGTGGTTCTGACATGTGCATTGTCGATATCGCAATATACCGTCACGCGTGAAGCCAAATTCTTGTCACAGTGACAAATGATTCCCTTCAAAATATTAGTATACTGTTTTGTGTTCACTGTGTCATAAATAGTTGTTCATTTGATGAATATAAGATGTATTCACGCTGTAGAGATCTATTATTCAGTGCAAAATTTTTTCAGTGTATGCAATTCAAGAATAACTTTTATTGTTAATTGTACCATTTTTACCGATTTAAATATAGTATATTTTGTAACAAGTGCGCGAAGCAGTTGACTCACCCAGGAGTTGTTTTCACCCGAGCGTAGCGAGGGTGCAAAGACTCCTGGGTGAGTCAACTTCCTCGCGGACTAGTTGCAAACGATATTTTTTAACTCTGCTTGCGAGAAACTAGGGTTTTCTGACGATTTACGGTTAGAAAGCCCGTGTTTCGCGCACGCAGTGTTAAAAAGTAATTTAATGCGTAGGCATTTTTTTTGGAAATTCAGGAAAATTTTATTAAATATATTTTACTTTATTTATTCGAATGTAAGAAAAGATTACATGAAATCAATGTAATATTTCATCAATTTAACAATGCATTGAATATTCGGTCAAATCTATAAAATATCAGATACTAAAAAGTTATTGTAAAAAAATCTTGATTCAATGATATTAGTATCAATATATAGCGTCCAAAAGGAAAATATTTAATCGTCAATAAACTTTAAATCTTTTTACTAAGCAGATAGCTATTTCTATATATCTATGTGTCTTTTCTAGTATTTGCTGAACACTTCCATTTATTAAAAAATCCTTCATTTTCACCTGATCCACATCCAATTTATAATCTACATAGTAATAAACTCGAATCAATTGAAGGTTTCATCCTTATCGGTTAAAAATGTTGGTAACTTCG